GACTCCTGTCTGGGTGAGCACCCCTGGGGGCACAGGACATGACGGCCTGGCTGGCCCCGCTTCTGCATCAAATGCAGCCGCTCAGGCTCCGATCTTTGGGAGCAAGCTTTGGAAAAGGCAACTGGGTTCCCAATTCCCGCGGTGCCTAGCCTTTAAAGTGGTGCTACTCAAACAGGCTGCACCCCGAGAAAACTCTGCCTCTGCGAGGTCCCCCCAGGTCCCACGGTGGGCACAGGACATGACGGCCTGGCTGGCCCCGCTTCTGCATCAAATGCAGCCGCTCAGGCTCCGATCTTTGGGAGCAAGCTTTGGAAAAGGCAACTGGGTTCCCAATTCCCGCGGTGCCTAGCCTTTAAAGTGGTGCTACTCAAACAGGCTGCACCCCGAGAAAACTCTGCCTCTGCGAGGTCCCCCCAGGTCCCACGGTGGTCCTGACCCCTCTCAGCCAGGCAGAGTGGGGCGCAGACCCGCTGATGAACAAGTTAAACAGCTAAATGGCCCATCTCAACCGAGCAAGGGGAGGGAAACGGGTTCTTTAATAACTTGTTTCTCAGTGCAACTGTTTAGTTAATACCTTTTTTCCCCTATTCCTTTTTTCCAGAAATTTAATGAAAGGCGGACCTAAGTGCTTCAAAAACCTTGCCTCAGGCTGATGTATTTATTCTCTTTCAATAGCATTACAACAATTACCCCCCAAAAGAGCTCTGCTTTAAACATCTCTCCATCCTAGCTTTATCCCATTGAAGAAAATATCTTTTTTCTTCTACATAATTCCAGCATGACAGAAAGGATTTTTATGCATCGGAAACAAGAAAAGAAGGTGAATATTAGCAAGCCCTTTCTTGCAGCCTATAGGCAGACAGGTTTTTTTTTTAGTTATAAAGAAATACTGTGACAGCTGAAAATAGGAGAAAGAAAGGACAAGAAGGTGTAATAGAAGGAAAAGAGAAGTGGAGGCAGGCAAAAACCAGCCAACAGACTGTCTACACGGGGTGAAATTAATGCCCCTAAGAGCTGTAGGAGGGCCAGATGCAAGACTGCGGATTCCTTGTAAATTCTCCATCGTGTCGGGGAGCGGTTGGGAGCTGGGGCTCAGAAACCAGCCCGGCAGCTCTGCTGGGACCCAAAGTAGAGCAGGGAAATGATGTACCCGGCCTCAGGGATTTCTCCAGCATCTCAGCACCTTTCTGAAGGCAGAATGTGACCCCCATGCATGGACAAGGGAAAGAGGACATTTT